TTGCTAAATTTAAAATTAATATTAAAAAAAACAACAAAAAAAAAACAAAAAAGAAACATTTTCTTGTTATAAAAACGTGTTTGATGAGCATTTAACAGATGAGTATTTAACAGACAAAGAGAGATAAAATAAAAACATTTTTTTTCTTTTACAGTAATGAAGAGAATTTTCAATAGAACTGAAACGAGCACAATAACGAATTGTATAAATAAATTAATTTAACTGAAATTGAAATTCAATTCAATTTCACGCTCGCTTTTTTTTTTCTTCTTTTCTTATTTTATTTCGTTCCATTTTGTGCAATGTGCGTGAATATGTGCGTTTTAATATTCCAATTTGATTATTAACTAGAAACCCCACCTTAGAATTAGAAGAAGAAAAAAAAAAAATTTTACTCGAAATTTCACTCATATTCAGATGAAAAACACTCTTTTTCATAATCACTCACACAACAGACGCAGAGCTGTTGCGACAGAAGAGAATGTAAGAGAATGTAAATCGCTTAACAAAACCTGTTTCTTCGGGGCTAAGAGTTTTCACCTAACGCAAAGCACAAAACAAATTTGTTTGGTTGATTTTTATGAGTAGGAGAAAATGCCAAAAGAAAAAGAAAAAAAAAGTACCGGAGAGAGGCAGCAACTTGTTTAATGTGGAAATGTTACCTTCACAGATATCCACTCATACCACCACCTGTCAGATTGCAAGGAAGTAAAAATCATTTTTATATGAAATGTTCTTCTCTTCTCTGTTTTCTTTCTGCCGATAAAGTAAACTAAACCTTTCTTAAAGCCTCTGCCATGCATACATTATCTTCGATGTTTACCCGATTACGGTTTGCAAATATTCAGAAACAAAAAAAAATTCCAAGTTAGCAAAATTTTTGCTTATAAAGCTATTAAGTAGATGGCCATCTGGAATCACACTCGCACGGAACGTTAACAGCAGCTTCAACAAATATTTATATCAAATTTTCCGACGATATCCGCATTTGATTTTTTTTTTCATTTTCTTTTGCAATTTTTTTACTTTTATTTAAATTTTTATTAGTTGTAGATATAATTCCCGGCTTGAATATTTGGTTCTTCTTGGACTAAGTTCCTAAGTTTTACTAATCGCATAACCAAAAGTCTCTCAGCAAGCATAGCCCAGTGCTACACCCAGTTTGATATCATGCATATAAAAACTATAAATATATATGTACAAATCTATTACATACAACTAATTCTTTTTTTACCCGGTTTCGATATAACACGTAAGAGGCACCGGTAACAACATATACAATTTTCTACACGAATTCCTTATTCTAGTACAAATTCGAGAAAACATTTCTAAATTCGAACTTTGTTCGAACTATTACTGAACTGGCCAACCGCGGAAAATACCCCAATTTTGTGATCACCTTTTTACTTATCTCGCTGGACAGCAACTGGAATTCCAGTAATTATTTTGTGTTCGAATATTCAGTTCGTAGAACGTAACAAATAATTTCAATAAAGTTGTGAAACTTGATGTTCAGTTATTGATAGTTCCGGTGGTCTAATAAACGTACACGCTTGTTATCAAGCAACGATAGATAGTTGCGAACTTGACTTTTATGCCTAATTCCAATCTAAATTTTTATTATGTTGTACTTATAGATTGAATTTTCACTGTAATATGGATGTCATTACCATTTTTTTTTACACGGTTTCTTGGGAAAATATTTACAATTTTCAGTTGATTTTGCACGATGTTTTAAAGTTGTAGAACATATTCCCAAATTTGCCATGTCGCATGTATTTTTGTACACGGTTTTTTTTTGCATGTTTTCCTAAAGAGCCTTCCTTTTGAGCCTTGGCAAATGAGCGCAAACCGTCCCCGAATAAAAAATAAGTTAACGCATGAAGTCATTGTTGATTGGAATTCGTAACGTCAGGTGAATATAGCGGAAATCGTAAAAGGTTCCACTTTAGTGCTTTCAACTTTTAAAAGACATCAGAGCCGATGTCGTGAAAAAGTCACGACATTGCGATTACGCCGGCGGCTTAATTGCATTAATTGCGGATGCTAGCCTTTGACAGTAACGTTTTCGTTTGGTGCGAACGATTCATAATACGTTGAACGTTCATCTAAATTGCGGACTGTGATGAATACTCACCTTTATCATCGCCGTTATTGGATCGTCCAGAACCGGCATCAGAGTTCTTTGCGCTTTAACTATCGTAATGCGTCAACAGCGATATCTTATTTTTTTTTTTTTTTCGTAGAACTCAATCTCTGTCTATGTTCGATAAATGGTATGCCTTTCAAAAGAAGAATGTGAACCGTTCCGTAAAGTTGAAAGATAATACTTTCGGAGAGAGAAGTCACGATTTTATTCATCCTATCCTCTAGCCCATAGCATTCCTTATGCCTGCGCTTAGAACACGGCGACACGGCGACACGGTGACGGCTAATTCAATTTCGCACTATGTCGACTCTCGACTTGTCGATCCTCTTAATCCCTGGTGCAGGATTCACGTTTCAGCTCTCTGATAATATATATGTAGCGAACGAGACTTATTAGATATACTAAGAATTTCTTTCCTAGACTCATTGCTTCTTGATACAAATTCCTCATCTGCGCATACAAGTGCAATCTTATATCGAAATTCGACGATGTTACAAATAGATCGATAATGTGACTTTTAAGATCCGATACAATGGAAATAAGTTTTAAGGGATCTTATAAGCCAAGTTATTAAAAATCAATTACTGAAGAAAGCAGAGAAAGCAAAATATGTTTAGGAAAGTCAAGAGGTCTGGAAAAATAAAATTCATTGCCATCTTCTTGACTTCTTCCTAACCCACATCATCGATGAAGAAAGAGTAGCCCAAATATATAGCAAACTTGAGACGCTTACGCATCTAACTAATCCATGTTAAAGGTAAATGACAATTGACAAGAAAAGGAAGACTTCTTCAAATGTAAGATAAAAGCACTTGTAAGTAAACTTGTTTAAGTTTTCCCTAGTCATAAGCAAACAATAACGTCGTCATCCGAAGGACTAGCACGGGGGAAGTAAGCCTTTTATTATCGCTTGTTCTTTCCTCTTATTTTGTAACACTGAAAACCACGTATCAAACACTCTATAAGGAACACATCAAATAGTTGAATAACTATTGAGCCTTGTACTAGAAAACGGCCCTAGTTCATTAATCGCAGATGATGGAATCATCGCAAATGATTGATAAATTGAAGGCTCAACATTTTTTAGAATATTTAATACACTTTCGATTTTCCTCCTTTTTTTTTTTTGTCTATTAAGAAAGAGTTTAGATAGGCCCACCTGCTATTACACCGATCGATTCGGAATCATTTTCCAAATCAATTTAACTAAGCCTGTCCGTCTGTTCGACTAAGTATTACTACTTTGGCATACTTAATTGTTGAATGTGTCACATGGGTCGATTTAGAATTATTTTCTAAATGGGTTTGCGTATGTCTGTCCGTCCATCCGCCTGATGTTTGTCTATGTACAAAGTCGTTAAGTAATTGTACTACAGCATACTTAATTGATTTGTTTCAGATGGACGCATGTTTTAAATCCTGCTCGCGGAAAAAGAGTGTGCCTTTAGTAACAAGGGCAACAAGGCATATACTAGGTGAAATTATGTCGACCATTTGATGATCGATCTTGTAAGTATCCTCTCACCACTAAGTATCCTTTATCACCCTACTTACATATAACGACTTCTCGAAATAAGGCGTTATAGAGGACGCGCTTAGAAGTGCATGCGCCTACGTGAACCAATTCTTATAACATTCGTCCTTGGGCAAAAAGACATTAGCTTAGTAAATTTCATCAAAACATCTCAAAATCTGCGATCTATAGGTTAAACGCAAGAATACAAGGCGGACAAACGGACTGACAAGCATAGATCGATTAAGAAAATTATTTCGCACCGAGCAATATAACGACAGATGTATCTATATCCATCTATCTTCGGGACAGTGCATACCATAAATGGTCCAGCACACAAAAATACGACGCTTAAGTTATTTATTAATTAATTTTTGCGACCATTAACCGGCATCGAAACCGAACGGAGAGTCATGATATGATCATCTATATGAATTTTAAAATTTGAGAGAGAAGGACAATATCTGCATTAGTACTTTAAATCTACTTCGCCTTTTTTTTAAAACCCTACTAATGAGATCGGTTGATGCGATCTCTCAAAAAACGAATGAATTCATCGTTCTTTTAAATGGTCTTGTGGACTAGTGTTTGAAGAAAATTATTGTTTTTCTTTTCTTTCTTTTTTTTGCACCCTTTAATCACAATTTATTTCCTATGGCTGTCGATTTTAGTGAAAGTACAGTTACTCGTATAACGACTTTTCAAAATAAGGATTTATATGAGGAGCGGTTGAAGAAGTGATCCTATCCGAACGATTTTCAATAGAGTTCGTTCTTGGGCCAAAGCAGGTAGGCGTATCGAGTTTTATCAAAGTATTTCGAAAATTACGAGCTGCAGCTTGAACACAAAAAAACAAGACGGACAGACGGACGTTGTATCGAATTTCATTAAAATATTTCCAAAACCGCGACATGTAAGTAAAACATAAGACAGACAGACGGACAGAGAAACTTATCTATCGGCATAATAAGAGATGACTGAGGCTATTTCAAGTCCATCCGGGTGTTTCTTACGTTCACATAAGCTTAAGATATCCTTATACTACAAGTGGTGTAGAGCATAAAAATTGGAGAAAATATGCTTCGAACATTTTATGTAAGCCCTCAAATCGAATCCTACACTGGTAAAAAACGTATATATATATACATATATGTATATGCATTTTTGGAGTGTTTGAGTGTTACAAACGAAGTGAATAAGTAAAGATTATCTGTTGCACTTGGAATGTATGACGGATGTAACAACAAGTCCGATTGGGTGAGTAATACCCAAACATATAACATATATCTATTGCATTTGCGATATAATTTTTAAAATGTTACAAGCACTTTTACTCACCTTTTTAATGTTAAACGATATGTTCGCCGGATTTAAGGTTTAAAAATATTTATTCATTATTTATGCCTTTTCGTTTGATTCAACGTTTTTTTAGTGTAGTGAGCGGTCGGCCTGGCTGGTAATATATACTTTGCAACAACAACAACAGCAACAACATCAATGACACCAAAGATGACATCACTCAATGCAATGCAATTTGTTACACATTCAAGCAAAATGCAAAACATAAACACGCAGAGAAATCTTTATGAGAGAAATTGCACAATAAACTTCATCGATAGTACAAATAATATGAAAAACAATTAAATAAAAAAATTTTATTACCTAAACAATGAAATAATTATTGAAAAAAAAAAAAAAACAAATATAACGAAATTTTACAGAATATGGAGTAAAAACAGACAGACAGTTTGTGCATTGAGTAAACACTCATGTACAAGAGCATTTATAATAAGAGAATAACAATAATTTGCTCAGGTGAGCAAACATTAACTTATTCGTTGAAGAGTCTCATTTGAAAACTACATAACTACATATAATGGATGATGAAAAGAAATTAATGAGTTAAACTTTGCAGGCAAAGACAAAGCTTCAATGAAAGAGAGTAACATACATTAACTATTATTTTTTTATATGATTTTTTTATTTTGCCTTTTCTCCTAATGCCTGCATGCTTTTCTTTATTACTGATATTTTCTTCTTCCGGACGGATTTTTACGTTTATAACATTTCTAATGTTCATTAAGTCCAACACGTAAATGTTATTATCATGTTTATTGTTGATTGGTGTTGCAAAGTAGAGTGGCGTTCGTTCGTACAGCCACTTACAGCTAGTTAGTTACATTGAAAATGGCACAAACATACACACGCGCTTCTCAAAAATTCGCAAAACATGTACAACCTTCTGCTACAAATTATTTGAAGAAAAAAAGCATTCTTATTGATAACTTCTTATAAAAACAAGAAAAATAGCAAGACAATCATTTTTTATTTTTTTTTTGCTTTTTTGTTTTTCGTTTTTCTATATATTTAAAAAAATTTAGACTTAATTTTCCTTTTTTTTTCTCTTCTAATATATCTTATTTATCTGCTGTCATTCTTATTAGTGGTTATTATAATTGATCAGCTTGTTTTGTTTTTCGTATTAAATTTTTCATTTTAAAACTCACTTTAAATTTGAAATTTATGTCGTAGGGGAAACCAACAACAACAATATAACATAATACATATACTATACACACAACTTGTTTATAACATTACTTCTTTACGGTCACACAACAAATCAAGCGCGCTTCACATTTACCGCATTACTCATTTCAACACAAAAGAGAGAAAAGAACTGGAGAAAATCTAGAAAATGTTCAAGTTTATATTCGTGTAGGCAATTGTTAAAAAGTGGTGATTCTCTCTCTCTCTCTCTCTCTCTCTCATCCTCTCTCCATCTATTTCCTTCACTCTTTTTCGGACACGAGTAAAACCAAATTTTACACTAACAATGCCAACAACATGGCACATTAATGATGCCAAGTATGAAGTTCCTCTCACAACCAGAAACGTAATGAAAAATTAAAACAGAAGCTTTCAATAACTGATTTGGTACACTTTTTTGTATTATAAACAGTGTTGCCGTATTCTAATCTTCATAAACTGTGTAAATTTCGAGACAGAGAATATGAAGTTAAATTAATTAATAGCTATTTATATTTTCGAAAACATCAAACATTTTAATTTCTATATTAGTTTAATGCGACTGAAGCAATGCATTCTTCTTGTTTTTTATCTTGATTTGATTTTTTATATGTATGTAAGTATATAAACAGTTGCGAAAAAATTTTTATAATAAATAATAATATGGTAGTATTGCCATATCTGTAATTTTACAGAAAAGAAAAAGCACGAAAGCAAAGCAGAAGCACCATCTATTGATATTTAAGCAAATTATTAACACAGGGATGGTGAAAAAAAAATTAACAACATTTGTCTCGTATATTTGATTTTTATTATAATAGATGGCGTTCATAAGAAATCTAACTGACATTTGAAAGATTACAAACAAAGTGTCATTTATTTCAATATATGATAAGTACATTTTAAGTACATTTATTGATTTAAATAGATTTTCTCATTAAATTTTTAATACATTCTATGGGCTCACCTAACATTATTATACTTATGATAGATTTAGATAGTTGTTTTTTAATTAATTTTTACCATTTATAATAACTAATAAGTTTTTAATAGTCTATACACATAAAGTTTTCATTTAAATAATTCAAATGCGCTATGGAGATAAGTTTATTCTTTAAGAATTTTCTTTAAATTGGTAAATGGGATAAAATTGATACTTAAAGTTAGCCTCACACAAAAACTTTTGTATTTTCTCTTAATCAATTTATTTGTTTGTTTGTTGGTTTGTTTTCTTTTTCTTTTCTTTTTTTTTTAACAAAATTTTACTAATTCATAAATTTAAAATTAAACTTAAGAAGCATTACTGTTAATAAACAGTACAACTAAAATATATACTTATATAATAAGTTTCACATTTAAAAATACGTTTAATATTTACAAAGGTTGCCTGGTTTTCAATTTTAAAAGCGTTGATGGTATAAGTTTCTTTCATATTTGCGGTCGTGTCCAAAGTTCGCTTAAATCTTTAGGTCGTAACTTGCCGATATCTATAAAATAAGAAAAATTTTATTATTATTATTATTATTGGTTTTTTTTTTTTTTTTTTTTTTAATACTTTACCAATTTGCCCTGGCTTAGCTGAAGGCCAAACTATATCAAATCGTGGTGGCACCGCCAAAGCTACTTGTGAATTCCTTACCGATGAACTACTGCAAATATTAAGTTAATCAATAATTCGATTGTTAAATTCATTGAAATTGAAAGCGTACTTGTATGGATGTTTTAAACAGCCGTAGGTTTCACGATAACGCCCATAAAGAGTACCGTAAGATACTCCTAAAATACGAGCTGCTTTCTTCATCTCAAGTCTTTTATTTTTTATGGCATCAAGTACCTATTAAATATAATTTAATAACAAATATTAGAAAATATATGTAAAACCGAAATGCAACTATGCATAGAGGCAAAGAGATAGCGAGAGAGAGAGAGAGAGAGAGAGAGAGGGAGAGAGAGAGAGAGAGAGAGAGAGAGAGAAAGAGAAAGAGATAGGGAGAGAGAGACATGGTCATTGTGAGGACGTGGTCACAAACGAGGACTTTGAAATCCGTACGAAAGGCATCGAAATTTTGAAAATAAATTTTAACTAAAGGTAAATGTTGCAAAAAAAAAAATAAATAAATAAATAAAATAAAGAAAAAATTTCTTATTTACTCAACCCATGAGGAATATTTAATTGCTGAGATCTAGGGTAACGCGCTTCATGACAAATCTTACAAAAATAAACCCATCCTCCGAACTAATTGGTTTCGAACAGTCTCTCCATCTATCTGTGGCGGTTGTAAGCGAATTTGAAAAACCAAGGGTCACTTTACGTTATCAAGTTATCAAGTTAGTAGAAAGACAAAAACTACCGGATCGCTTTTTGACTGGCTGATACTCGTTCGTATCGAGCTGTCCGTCCCGCGCGTTCGTTATATTTACAATGGAATATTTGCGATAACATTGGTGTGTGTTTCTGTAAATATATATAACAAAATAACGCTATCGAGTTAGCTCGATAGATAACGAGATCAAGTTTGAAAATAGAGTGTGACAAGATCGGCTGAGAAAATCAAAATTTTCAAAATATTTTATGCGCGAGGGAACAGGAACAATTTGTGCCTGCTGTCAACCTGCCCTTTGTCTGACCTGCGTCCAAAATGGACAAAGCATAACTATATATGTATTTATCTTGCGTATAAAAAGTTGTCTTACTAACCTTCAATATCCGAGCATGAAAGGGTTCTATGTGTAGATCAGACTCTTTTACCGCATGAGGGAATACGATAAGCGTAATAAATATTGAGATCAATTTTTAAGCTAAGTAACTAAGCAAGTTCAAGTCTTTTGCCTATTGTGGACGTATTACGCCCATTTTTAAACCTGATCAGCGGTCAGTAACTGATAAATTTCAATTTTCTATCTCACTGTTTTGCCCGCAAAACGGCCACCAAGTCTATGGACGGACACACAGACGAGACGAAATGGCATTAGCCAGGAGCAGTTTTGGTCTTTTTTTTACACTTATACTCGTCAAGAATTTTTCCTCTTTTATTGAGTCACGCGTGTCAGCTTTTTTTTCCTTTATTCTTGTGTGTGACACAAGCGGCCATGCTTCGAAGAAAATTTGATTACCTAACAAACATAATTCAAAAAAAAAAAAAAAAACACTAACTTACCCTCCTGGTGAAAGGCTCTTCCCAGAATTGAGGTCTACGACCTTTGGCTAGATAATCATCCATTTTAATAACATCCTGCCATTGGGACATTTCTTCACTGGTTAAGCGCAAATCGGTCTCATTGAATTCCTCCATTTTGATGTCGGCATAGTCTTCGATATGATGGCCGTTCGACGCAGTAACTGCTGAAGATGTGGGTATAGCTGCTGTGGGTGCGTGAACGAAATCATGGGTCATTAAGATACCATGCTCGTTAATTAAATACCCATCGGGTACATATTTGCCGTAGTGATGGGAATGATGCAAAGAACTTGTAGCCGTGGCACTGGGCGATGCCTGGCGACTGTGATTATGTCCCGAAGATTTTTGTGTCGCTGCGCTTGAAGAAGACGGCGGCGATGACGACGACGACGACGAGGTCGGTGTTGATGCGCTAATAGTATTTTTGTTCGAGGAATGTTTAGCATTTTCGCCATTTGTTATGGCGTTTTTATCTTGATTGGTTTTATTTTGATTAGTTTCCATTTCTTCGACGGTCTGCGGCACCGGCTGAACCGCTGACGACGATTCTTCGCGTTCCCCTCGATCCAATTGTTCATATTTTTTGCGTAACTCATTCTTGTCCAAAGCGAAGGAGTTCTCCTCTTTGGAATTTTTACGCTTAACTGCCTTCGGTTTTTGTCGTTCGGGTGTTTTCTCCTTAATGCGCGACTCTTCTTTACGTTTGGCCTCCTCCTCCTTAATATCGGGAGTTATTTTCAAGTCTTGTGCTACTTCTTCCTCTTCTTCTTGATCAATATCATGATCAATTGTTATTTTATGCTCATTTTCACTTACATCCAAATTGCTGTTAATCCATTCGGACTCGTTGTCAGCATCATCCAGATGATCGTCTTGAGAGCGTAAAGATTTTTGACGTAAACGTTGTTTTTGTATATGCTGCTGATAGGCTGCAGTTGCTGCCGTAATAGGTGAAGAGCCGCGTGAATTATGTGAAACAGCTGCGGCATGATCGTCCGTAAATTGAGAATTTTCCGCGAACGGGGGCTGCGTGTCACTATTATCCGCATATTGTTGCGATAATTTACGGCTAAAATAATGAAATAAAAAATGATTTTTTTTGTTTTTTTGTTTTTTTTTTTTTTTTTGTTTTAATATCAAAAACCAAACGAAACTCACACATTGAAGACATCGTAAGCATCATCTAATGGTGGTCGTCCTCTTTTACGTTTTGGTCCCATATAAGTATCAACAGGTGAATTGCCAGCTGTGACAATAGATACTCCGGCATTCGGTATGGGCGTTAAAGTAGGCATGCGTTGACAAGCTATCTCGGGATTATTATGTTTCGGAGAGGTGGATGCTTTTTGTTCACTTGTCTCCGGCTCGGGAGTTTGTGAACGTTGCTGCGTCTCATAATGATGATGATGATGATGATTATTGTTATTATTATTATTGTTATTATTATTATTATTATTATTATTATTATTATGATGATGATGAGCTGTTGTTGTATAATCGTAAGCATTTGTGTGCGCTCTTTGCGTTGACGGTGAATGAAATTCTGTATGCGGAGTGGGTGGTGGCGGTGGTATATCATCTTCATCGCGCCAAGTTACCTCCGCCAAGCCCTTTATTTTGAGATCGTCAGCTGTCTTAAGCAATGAAGCTAAGTTTGCCTAAGATTGATAAAATTTTCTTAGCAAAACAAAAGTTTAAGTTAAATAAGTTAAATAAATTTGTGCAGTCGAGCAATCCGCACAATCAATGGAAGAGTTACACATTCCTAGTTTAACTTATTCCCTATGCCCATCGATAAGAGTTGAATCATTTTCATTATTATTAAACGAATATGAACAAATTATTTTTATGGCTCAATACTTTTTCGCCTTTTCCAAAGAATCCAGCTATTTATCTATCTATCTATCTATCTATCTATCTATCTATATATCTATTTATCTTTACCAAACTTTACTTGATTATTACTCGATGCTTGTTCTTTGCTTAAATATATTTCACTTACGTGTTCCACATTTATTTCACCTTTATACATGAACTCAATCAAACATTTGATGTCAGCAAATGTTACATCTTTCATTATGATAATCGGATCTCGATCACTCGCGTAATTCGTTAATATCGTATCGAAAAATGTACTGCAAGCACATAATACAACACGATGCGCTCGTATCAACTGCCCCTCGCAGGCGAGAGTAACATCGCAGAAGCAACCGCGATCCAATAATTGGGAAAACATCGTTTGTAAATTGCTGTGATGATATTTCCATCTTAAGCAATATTGTTGCGGCAACATGTTGATATATGATCAGAGATCCTAAAAGAAAGAAAACGCAATATGTTTGAAAATTTCAGAAAAAAAAAAAAACGAATGGAAAGAAAAATATTACTATGCGATAAGCGTAGATATATATATATATATATATATAAAATCAAATAATAATAAAAATAGTAGGGTGATGAATAGAATCGAAATAATAATATATAAGAAGGCATCGGAAAAAGTGCACTTTTATGTAGAATTATAATACAAGCCACGCCCCACCATTATATACATCACCCTATGTTTATGCATTATATAACGACTTTTTAAAATAAGGCGACAGTGGGAGAGTGGTCGAAAAAATCGTCCGATGCCAACAATTTTCGGTAGCGTTCGTCTCTGGCCCAAAACACATCAGTCTACCAAATTCTATTCGAATATCTCAAAAATTGCCGTCTGAAGATTGAGCACAGAAAAAAAAATCTGGACAGATAAGCTTACATTAATTCAAGATATGATGCTGAAACGATCGGTATAATGGATCGGTAAAGCGAGTCTATCTTAACCTATTTTGGCTGTTACATACGTACACACAAAGTTAATATACCCGTTTAGCGCTAGTGGTGTAGGGTATAAGAGGCATCGAAAATATGTATTTACAGAGTATGCCAAAAAAATAGTCGAATTTCATTTAAAGAAATTTAAGAATAACGCCATCTATTAAAGCGATACACAACTAGAAAGATGTGTGTTTCCTCCGCAAAACAAAATCATCTAACTTTCACTTTTGTGTTCCGCTGTTTGTACGAACACGACTGGATTTATTTGTTAATGTCAGGTCTGCAAACATTTTTACTTACAGTTGTAATATATCTTCATAGGGTTACCATAATTCTTCTTCAATTCTTTTATTAAATTACTATCATGAACAAAAAATTTTTATCATAATTGTTTATATTCCCCAAGAATCCTCATATGCGGCAATAACCAACAAACCGACCAACAAAGCCCAGATTCGGCAAGGTCGACTTCTTTGTCAATCTACTATTATGAAGGAATTTTCAATATGAAAATAAGACCTTTTCATCATATAAATATTCAGTTTTCGTGGGACTGGTTATATAAGAGGCGACTTCAAATATTACCTCAGCGGAACTATGCAATTCATACCGATTTGAACGGTCGAAGTATTATTACTCAGCGAGTTTTGTCGAAAAATTGTGCAAATGTTTCCATATAACGATTTTTCAAAGTAAAATGTTATACGGGGCTGGTGGAAAAGTGCGCCGATACGAATGATTTTCAGCAGCGCTCGTTTGTGGCTCAAGCACGTCGGTGTGGCAAATTTCACCAAAATATCTCAAAAGTTTCGATCTGTAGGTTGAACATAAATATACATGCATAGGCGGACAGATGAACAGACAAGCTTAGATCGATTGAGAATCATTTTCTCGGTCGGGTGTGTGCTACATACGTCCGTACATGCTTAGCATATCCTGTGGCGTAGGGGCTAAAAATGCATACTTCATCTACCGGAAACTGTAAGCCGACTAGTCGTGGCATCGACAGCCGTCAAGTTTACTCGATTGTGAAAGCGGGAAAACGGTGCCAAGACGTTTTCAAAATATCATATTTTAGTAACGCCATCTATTATTAATTGCCGTAGAAATACGAAAGACACTTTACAGCTTCCCACTAATGTTCTCTCAACAATCGAACCTATAAGTGAACTTCTATTCCATTAAGAAGCAATTTGCAAATGAACATTTCTTTTCCTCCCTTCCTAACAGACTATTGAGAGAAAAATTCCACTCATCTTGCTGCCCTATTCGCGAATAATAGCAGGAGTAATGGTTAATAAAACCCCACCTGAGCATACATAAAGCCTTCTTCCCTCTTTCAAACCGTTACGACGTAACATTACATAACTCTTGGTCTGTTTCTTGTTTTTTGTTGTTTTTCTTTAATATGACCCATCACTCGGGGGATGTCACCTATACACGTAACACGATAATCGTCAAAAACAAGCGCGACAAGAGAAAAGGAATGGGGATAGAGGCCGCAGCCTAATGGATGAGCGTCTAAAACGACTAAAAACATACTTAAGGTAGCTACGACCTCTTCCATCCTCTATCGCATTTACCCTTAAGCCCGCGAGCTAAAGAACTTGTTTATCTTTCACTTAAGGCACAGAATTACCACAAAAGTGGAAGTGTTTTCGAAATTTTAGGAAGCAACTTAATCCATGGCCTTTGTTACTTTAAAGGCGACGTGATATCTTATAAATGATATATTTTTCAATATTTGCTTATTTATGCTTTTACGTGCTTTTTATAACTAAAGGTTTATTTTATAATGACTGAAATAATGTGAAAAAAAAAAACAAATAAAAAAAATTCTCTTTATTACTTTTTTAAATAAAAATAAAAAAAAAGGAAAAATAAATAAATAAAAATTTAAAACTATAAATTTTATACGTTGTCATAAAATGCCAACACTCGTTTCCTTTACTTTTAAAAATGAAAAAAAAAAAAACACAAAAAAACGTAGAAATGAGAAAAAAAAAAAATATTATATCCTTTAGGGGACAAAAATATGTATATACATATACATATATATGTATATATTAAAGAAGTAAGAACACTGTATTCGCCTTTAGGAGAATTATCCGTACCCTGCACGTGACGAATATGGATACGGAATACGGATTCACTAATCGAGAAAAGTACTAGATTATGATCGCTCAACTTGGCCATGACCCTCGTGAATATTTTCACGAAATGATAGGTCAATGTTTGTTACGGATTTCAGTCAATTGTAAATTAGTTTTAAATTTTTTCATTAATTAATTTCATAAACGAACTTTAGGCTAAATTACGTTTTCCCTTACAAACTTGATCTGCGAACTTAAGCAAAAAAAAAAAGAAAAAAAACAAACAAAAACAACAATATTATAAATGTTCAATTTCAAGTCTCTACATCAAGCCCTTGTTCCTACGAGACATACACTCAATGGACAGACTGATGGACATGGCTAAAGAAGCTTATGTCAATCAATAGCCTTTAATAAAGGTTGTGACAAAACTAATATTGTGCCCAACCTTCGGTCCTGGGTATAATAAGAAGATATATAAAAGACGAATTTTGAATACCTTTAATTTTGAATTAATTCCCGATATATGAACGGTGTACAATGGAAATTCATTTTCTTCTCATTTTCCTTTTTTACACGGAATCGTATAAAAAAAATATTCTTAAGGGAAATGAATAAAAATTTCCGAAATCATTTTTAAGCGTGTTCTTCTTTTTGCGGTAAACGAATCACAATCACTTTTACATTTAATCTCTGGATGTTTATTATATGTAAACGTATTTGGAATTGAATTGTATGATGAGCAGCATATCCGACCGTCGCATTCACAAGAACCATTGATATTGTATTGTAAGGAAAGATTCTGTAGATTATTTGATATTTATTGCTGTCTGTTACAAAGGGAACAACAATATCAGCATAACTTTCACTTTTAAGCGATGAATACAAAAATTTATTAAAATTGTAGCAAAAAAAAAAAAAAAAAATTTTTTTTCTTTTTTTTCTTTTTATTTTTTTGTTAAGAAAATCTTAAAAGGAGAACACGTCATTTTCTATTAAGGTTTACTGTTGTTGTCTTCATAAAATAAATGT